GAACGAGAGAGGCCCCAAAGTTAAGAGAAGTAGTCCTTCTTTTAGGACTATCCTCCCTGTTGTATTGACCATATAGCAGCAAATGTACACTGATGCACTGAGTTCTTCCAGAGAAATTAACAAGTATAACTCCCAAGTGTTTCTCTTACTTCAGAGAGGCAGTGTCACACAATGGAATGAATAGTAAAATGTTGACTCATCCTGGGCAGCAGTGGGGGAGAAGTAGAAGGCACCCTATGGGCAACAGATAGCTCTTGTAGTGGGCAAACAAAATAGTGCGGTGATGAAGAATAGTCTGATCTTTCTTCCCAAGCCACTCTTTGGAGGTTGTCAGAAAATGGACAGAAGACACTAGAGGAGAGTTTCAGACCTGAAAAATAAAAGGGCAGGACCATTGCATCTTCAATATTTCTTATCTCTCCTTTTTCAGTCCCTGAAATAAAAAATGCCTGGGCCTGGATACCTAGAATTATATTTCTAAGAAATGGAACAATTGCCGCATTGAAATGATGGAGCCTCAGAGAAATCTAAACAGATAAATTCTGTCAAACATGGCTTTAAAACCAATAGTTATCACTAGTCAAACCTTCAAAAAAAACTTTGCAAGAATTCCAGTTGAGTATTGCTCTTATCTCAAGAGTTACACATTCAACCAGAAAAGAATTACGTGTCTCTTATTGATACCCCTGTTCTACTTCCAAATTCAGCCAGTATCAAACAAGGGAAAAGATGAGAGAGTAGGGAGCAATGAGAGAATAATTTGTCTCCACAAAACCAAGGTCATATAGGACCCTTTAGGACACAATTTACACAGATGCTTTTTCTTTGAAACTCAAATTGTACTTGGATTATTTTTCACCTAGATGAGAGAAAATGGTTTTGAAAGTGCTAAGCTTAATTGATTTACAGCCACATCAACTCAGACCCCAGAGACTCCAATTATATATCCCATCATACCCAGGGCCTGCAGGAAGCGGACTTTCCCCTGAGATTGGTAGATGGGCTTCACAGTCAAGTGTTATGATTAATCCAAAGTTCTTTTCTCAATACAGATGAAGGACATCACAGTTCTCTTATCCTTATTCAGGCTTAAAGGCTATTAGAAGTGTGACACAGCAGCCTTATGACAGCAAAAGTGAGTGGAATTCCAGAAAAGTCAATTGAGTTGATGAAATGCTTTGTTGTTGGAGCTTATTTATGCCAGTATGCTAATGCAGCAAAAGATGGGAGGTCATATTTTCTCTTCTACAGGCTAGAAGTTAATGGTGCTGAAGCACCAGACATAGGCTCAAATACACCAAGCATTTACACAATGTTGTGTATCAATTTTTAGGAGCCTGGAAAGCTATAAGTACTCTCAAGTGCTTTCAAGCACATTAGTCCTGCTTTACACAAAGTATAATAAGCCTGGTTGATGGTAGAGAAATAATAACGTTGTTAGTCCGAGCAGCTTAGAGTTGAGTCATCTGCTCCAACAATCCAGATTGATTTAATGCCTGTTGGACAGTATGACTCAGTCATTTCCTGGAGGGCTAATGGACAATCACCATCTCATTTAGGCCCCATTCACACTCATTTTTGATTCTGCATGAGCAAAACAGGCCAATGGTTTCCTGTGATGCAGCCTGAAATACTGGCCTTAAGTGATTGTGCCTCAGTGGGAAGAATTCAGCTATTATGCAAAACTCAGAGCTATACACCTTTTCTTCCTGAATTTATCGTCTCTCTTTGGTAATTGATAATACCTAGAGACGATGGTAAAGATGAGGTCAGTGACAATCAAGGAAAAAAATCTAAATCATAGGACAATTTAAAAGAAACAGAGTTTTATTACTGTCAAATAAAAACAACTCAAACTGGACTCAAACTGCTTTAAGGAAGTATTGTCCCAGAATGTCCCTGAGAGACCTATTTAATGAATAATTAGGAATTATTTGTAATGGGTAAGTCAATTACAAATTGAAGGGGAGCTTCTAAACTAAAATAGTTTAAAGATGTAAAGGAAGCAAACAGTCCTATGTAAAACCAAGATTAAAATTCCAATGAGGTAAAGCTTTGCTAATATTGGCAAAATGGTAATAAATGTTGAAGTTGGATGATGGGTACATGGAGGTTCATTATACTATTCTATTTCTGTGTATGTTTAACTGTTTCCATAATAGTTCTTTTTGGAGACCTTTGATGAACAAAGGTTACTTTTAGGTCAGCCCTCTGAATTATGGTAAAATTGAAATCACTAGTATTAATATTAGAGCTTTGGCTCTATTAAAAATTTTTTAGCAAAGCTCCCAGATCTTGAACTTCACCGTCCCAAACTCAGCCTGTCTATATTCAAGCTACAGGCAAGGGTAATTGGGATCCTACAGAGCCATACCTTGTTCTCCTCCTAGTGAAAATATCAAGGGAAGCATGACAGAAGGGAAGAGAGAAGATATTGGGCCAGGAGATGAAGGGCAAGCTTTGAAAGCCAAAGCCTGTTTTGATGGCATCACCTGCTGTCCATTTTCCACTTTCAGAGAGATTTGTTATGGAGAGAAATTATCCTACATTCTCTCTATTGCTTCTATTCTATCAACCACCATAATAACTAGGCCACTTTCTCCTGGCCAGAATAAGCTCAGCTAGATGGAGAACCCATGGGGAATTATGCCTTCAGTCCATTGCTTTACACTAATGAGGGAAAGACTTTTCAGGCTCTGGAGTGTCTTGCACACTGGGACCATTCTTAGTCAAGCACATTTCTCACCTGCCATTGTTCCACTAAACATATTCTTGAAGTAGCTTGGAGGGGCTAGGCAGTGACGCTTGGAAAGCCCCCATATGTAAATTTTTCATTTTACCGAGAGACTATTTCCAGGCAAGAAGCAATAACTCCTATAAGCAAACTTCACTCTTCCCATGACAAAGTAAACTAAATTCAAGAACGAAGGTATCCTACACAGTGAGTTCTATACACATCACAGTAGGCTTTTTCAAGACTCCTGAACTGTAAAAACAAAAACAAACTAAGAGAAGAAAATACTGGATAAACTGCTGCAGTTAATCCAGTTTGCAATAACTAGCACACTCACAGATAAAGCCTTGTCTCCATTAAGACAGCTAGGCCTAGCAACTATCTAAATATTAAACTACAAGGTACTGCAGATAAGCGTCAGAGGCCATGGAGGAATACTGTAGGTAAAAAGAGAAGCATTTCCAACCATCTCAAACTATGGTCCTACCATGACACAACGGGATTCTGTGATCCTGCCTTGTTTAATTTCTATTCTTATTCCCCTTGAATGAATTTTCTTCCCTTTAAGCAAAGAGAAATCTAAAGCTGAAAGACTCAGGGTGATTGAACTGACCTTAAGTTTCATTTGGAAAATTGTCTTAAAAGAATCCTTAGTTGTACATTGCTCTAAATTACTTTTCACAATGTTTGGCAAACATTTTTGAGACTTAGTATGTGCTACTCACTAAAAAAAAATTACTATGTGGCAGGTTCTGTGCTAGGCACTGGAGAAATGATGCTTTAACATTTTCAAAGATGCTCTCAGCTATAAGTACATTTTACCCTCTGATATAAATAATGTATGAATTATCATTGACCACATTTTACAGGTAGGGAAATTGAGACTTGGAAATGGAAACACTTGCCCAAGATAGCACAGAAACATAGTAATGGATTCTGAATTTGAACCCTGCTCTTCTAAAACTGAACTGATTTTAGTTTCAATTATACAGCACTGTACTACTCAAAGGCCAGGCATAGTGCTCCACAGTGGGATACATGTTGGGATGTATTAAGTCATTCACTGACCCTAAATGGTTTGCATTCTGGCTATGAATTCAAAACAATAAGCTTTATTGCTGGTTTTCAGTTTGTGAAATTTTATTAAGCTGTATACTTAAAATATGCATATTCCTCTGTATATATGTATATTATACTTCAATAAAAGGTTTTCTTAAATCCTTCTTTTCTCACCATCCTGAAAATGTGCTTTCCTGTATGGACTAATCTTCAGGCCTAATGGGCACCATGGATTCCACCTTCATGTCCTGGTGTCAAAGAGGTGCGGTTATTTACCCTCACACCTTCATGGAGTTCTCCTTAAATTGCTGCCTATTGCCTTATATTTTTCTCTCATGTAGCCACTACAGGGTCAGCAAATACCTAAAGCTTTTGCTGTCCTCTCTGACCCTGAGCCAAAATGGAAGGGGTATTCCAACTGATTCCCTGTAGCGTAGACCTCATCCCCATCCCACCCTGCAAACTGTAATTCACTTTAATGACCATCTAGTGATCAGTCAGCCATTTAACTAATTTTTTTCCTTTTCAAGCCACAATCACTGATTAAACAACCCTGTTTAGAGTCTTCCCAATTGACCAGAGCAATCCATGGTAGTCAAAACTAGCTTTTCATACAACATCACAATCTAAGGGAAAACACTGTGGTCATTTAACTGAACTACAATTTGTGGAGGAGAAGATAAGGGGGCAAATCTAACCATCCTTTATTATTTGGCTCAGGCAAAGGCCCTCTGATCACCACCAATAACTTATCTGTCTTACTGTTGGTACAGAGCTGTGCTCAGCCACTTTCAACACTATACCCATAGAAGTTACTCTTTCCAACTGAGCTTAGACACAAGCTCATGTTCTTCAACACCAGGCCTCCAATAGCTAATACCAATAAATCAGAGGTGTCACATGAATTAAAATCCATTTCCCATTCCTGTTTTAGACTTCCTTCCCAGATTTTTTTATCCACATGATCTCTTTCTTATGGAACATATTTTCTGTCAGGGTAATAAAGAGAAAACATGTATCACTAACATTTTTCAACAGATGGATAAACCAACACCCAAAGAATGAAGCAATATTCTCAAAAGCACCTTGATAATTAGAATTTGACATTATTTTGTCACTGACACAACAATAATAAAGTTGTCTAGATTCTAGATATTAGTCCTTTGTCAGATGGATAAATTGTGAAGATTTTGTCCCACTCTGTGGGTTGTCTGTTTACTCTGCTGACAGTTCCTTTTGCTGTGCAAAAGCTCTTTAGTTTAATTAGGTCCAAGCTATTTATCTTTGTTTTTATTGCATTTGCTTTTGGGTTCTTGGTCATGAAGTCCTTGCCTAATACAATGTCTAGAAGGGTGTTTCCTACAATAAACTCAAACAAATCAGTAAGAAAAAAAAATCTCATCAAAAAGTGGGCTAAGGACATGAATAGACAATTTTCAAAAGAGGATATACAAATAATCATATGAAAAAATGCTCAACATCACTATCGATCAGGGAAATGGAAATCAAAACCACAATGTGATACCATCTTACTCCTGCAAGAATGGTCATAATCCAACAATCAAAAAATAGTAGATGTTGGCGTGGATGCAGTGAACAGGGAACACTTCTACAATGCTGGTGGGAATGTAAACTAGTACAGCCACTGTGGAAAACAGTGTGGAGATTCCTTAAAGAACCAAGAGTGAAACTACTATTTGATCCATAATCCCACTACTGGGTATCTACCCAGAAGAAAAGAAATCATTATTTGAAAAAGACACTTATACATGCATGTTTATAGCAGCACAATTCACAATTGCAAAATTGTGGAACCAACCTAAATGCCCATCAATCAACGAGTGGATAAAGAAAATGTGGTGTGTGTGTATACTAAGCAGCCATAAAAAGGAATGAATTAACAGCATTTGCAGTGACCTGAATGAGATTAGAGAGTATTATTCTAAGTAAAGTAACTCAGAGATGGAAAGCCAAAATTTGTATGTTCTCCCTGATATGTGGGAGCTAAGCTATGAGGATGCAAAGGCATAAGAATGATATAATGGACTTTGGGGATTTGGGGAGAAGAGTTGCGGGGAGAGAGAAAAATGCAGTATACACTGTGATGGGTGCACCAAAATTTCACAAGTAACTACTAAAGAATTTACTCATGTAACCAAATACCACTTGTACCCCAAAATCTTATGGAAAAATAAATAAAAAATAAAAACATTTTTCCCATTTATTTATTTTATTGCATTTTAGGTTTTGGGGTACATGTGAAGAATATGCAAGATGGTTGCATAGGTACACAAGTGGCAGTGCGATTTGCTGCCTTCCTCCCCATCACCTACATCTGGCATCTCTCCCCTTGCTATCTCTCCCCAGCTCCCCACCCCCCCACCGTCACTCCCCTATTTCCCCCCAACTGACCCCAGTGTGTAGTGCTCCCCTCCCTGTGTCCAACATTTTTTAAAAGAATAAAGTTTTCTAGAACTGGAAAAATGGCACCAAGTCTTTGCATACAAGTAGCCAGTAGGCAGCTGATAATTATTTCCATTTTCTTTATCTTTCTACTGACTGGGGCAGCTGATATGAAGGAACACAGTCCTCTAGACCAATTTATGGCTTTCTTCTAAACAACCTTCAAGTGCTCAATTGTTAGTCAATACCAGGAAGAAGGAAGGTTGAATCTGGAGATAGAAATTAGGATTAAGAGGTGACGACTACTACTACTATATCAGAGTAATGAACTCTAAAATCTAAACTGACAACACCCAAATCATTGGGTTTTGGCTCATTTCAGTAAAACTATACAGCTGCTTTCTTGGATGGGTGCCATGTTGAATGAATATTAGTCTAGCAAATTATTCAGCATTACATAGATCATATAATGAATCATAGACAGAAATAAATCAAATAGTCAAAATAAATAATAATTTCAGAGATGAAAATATTGAGGCCCACATTGGTTAAGCAACCTACCTAAACTCAAGCAGCTATTTGATGAAATGGGATTAGACTTATGTCACCTGACTCCCAGTCCAGTGCTCTTTCCACTTCATTAACTGAATCTATCACTATTTAATTACATGTTTTATCACCACACAAATGTGGCTTAAATAGCAAATACAAGAACAAGTGCCCTATTCCTGAAAGAAAAGAATAACAGGAAAGACCAAATAACATATATATTTCCCAATTCACACCAAGAAGTTAATGTTTAGATCTAAAACCTTAAGAAAAAGAGGTTTCTTACAAAAATTAACTCAAGATGGATTAAAGACTTATATATTAAACCCAAAACTATAAAAACCCTCGAAGACAACCTAGGCAACATCATTCTGGACATAGGAATGGGCAAAGATTTCATAACAAAGATGTGGAAAGCAATTGCAACAAAAGCAAAAATTGACAAATGGGATCTAATTAAACTAAAAAGCTTCTGCACAGCAAAAGAAACTATAAACAGCATAAACAGACAATCTACAGAATAAGAGAAAATTTTTGCAAACTAAGCATCTGACAAAGGTCTAATATCCAGCATCTATAAGGAACTTAAACAAATTTTTTTTTAAAGCCCCATTAAAAAGGTGGGCAATAGACACTTTTTTCTTTTTTTCTTTTCCTTTTTTTTCTGAGATGGACTTTCACTCTTGTTGCCCAGGCTGGAGTGCAATGGTGTGATCTTTGCTCACTGTAACCTCCGCCTCCCAGATTCAAGTGATTCTCCTGCCTCAGCCTCCCAAGTAGCTGAGATTACAGGCATGCTACCATGCCCAGCCAATTTTGTATTTTTAGTAGAGACGGGGTTTCTCCATATTGGTCAGGATGGTCTGGAACTCCCAACCTCAGGTGATCTGCCTGCCTCATCCTCCCAAAGCACTGGAGTTGCAGGCATGAACCACTGGGCCTGGCCTAAATGGACAATTTTCAAAAGAGACATGCAGCCAACAAACATATGATAGAAAGCTCAACATCACTGATTATTAGAGAAATTCAAATGAAAACCACAGTGAGAAACCATCTCACACCAGTCAGAATGGCTATCACTAAAAAGTCAAAAAAATGACACTTCCTGGTGAGGTTATGGAGAAAGGGGATGCTTATACACTGTTGGTGGGAGTGTAAATTAGTTCATCCATTGTGGAAAGTGATATGGCAATTTCTCAAAAAAATTAAAATATAAATACCATTTGACCCAGCAATCCCATTACTGGGTATATTCCTGAAAAAAATATAAATCATTTTATCATAAAGACACACAGATTTATATGTTCACTTCAGCATTATTCACAAGAGTGAAGTCATGGAATCAACCTAAATGCCTATCAATGGTAGACTTAATAAAGTAAATGTGGTACATATATACCATGGAATATTATACAGTCATAAAAAAGAATGAGATCAGGGGTGGCTGGCAAGATGGCCAAATAGAAGTAGCTCTGGTCTGCAGCTCCCAGTGAGACCAACACGGAAGGCGGGTGATTTTTGCATTTCCAACTGAGGTACCAGGCTCATCTCACTGGAACTGGTTAGACAGTGGGTGCAGCCTACAGAGGGCAAGCCAAAGCAGGGTGGGGTGTCATCTCACCCAGGAAGCACAAGAGGTCAGGGAACTCCCTCCCCTAGCTAAGGGAAACCATGAGAGACTGTGCCATGAGGAACGGTGCATCCCAGCCCAGATACTATGCTATTCCCATGGTCTTCATAACCCACAGACCAGGAGATTCCTTCAGGTGCCTACACCAACAGGGTCCTGGGTTCCAAGCATGAAACTGGGTGGTCCTTTGGGCAGACACCAAGCTAGCTGCAAGTTTTTTTCATACCCCAGTGGCACCTGGAACACCAGCGATAGAGAACCATTCACTCACCTGGAAAGGGGGCTGAAGCCAGGGAGCCAAGCAGTCTAGCTCAGCAAATCCCATCCCCACAGAGCCCAGCAAGCTAACATACACTGGCTTGAAATTCTTGCTGTCAGCACAGCAGTCTGAAGTCATCCTGGGACACTTGAGCTTGGTGGGGAAAGGGGCGTCTGCCATTACTGAGACTTGAGTAGGCAGTTTTCCCCTCACAGTGTAAACAAAGTCACCTGGAAGTTCAAACTTGGTGGGGCCCCCCACAACTTGGCAAAGCTGCTGTAGCCAAACTGCCTCTCTAGATTCCCCCTCTCTGGGCAAGGCATCTCTGAAAGAAAGGCAGCAGCCCCATTCAGGGGCTTACGGATAAAACTCCTATCTCTATGGGACACAGAATCTGGAGGGAATAGATGGCTGTGGGTGCAGCAACAGCAGGCTTAAATGTTCATGCCTGCTGGTTCTGAAGAGAGCAGTAGATCTCCCAGCACAGGCCTCAAGCTCTGTTAAAGGACAGAGTGCCTCCAAAAGTGGGTCCCTGATGCCCATGCCTCCTGACTAGGAGACACCTCCCAGCAAGGGCCAACAGACACCTCATACAGGAGAGCTCCAGCTGGCATCTGGCAAGTGCCCCTCTGGGACAAAGCTTCTGTAAGAAGAAACAGGCAGCAATCTTTGCAGTTCTGCAGCCTCTGCTGGCAATACACAGGCTAACAGGGTCTGGGGTAGACCTCCAGCAAACCTCAGTAGACCTGCAACAGAGGGGCCTGACTCCAAGAAGGAAAACTAACAAACAGAAAGGAATAGCATCAACATCAACAAAAAGGACATCCACACAAAAACCCCATCCGAAGGTCACCAATATCAAAGACTAAAGGTAGATATATTCATGAAGATGAGGTAAAACCAGCACAAAAAGTCTGAAAATTCCAAAAACCAGAATGCCTGTTCTCCTCCAAAGGACCACAACTCCTCCCCAGCAAGGGAACAAAACTGGATGGAGAATGAGTTTGACAAATTGACAGAAGTAGGCTTCAGAAGGTGGGTAACAACAAACTCCTCTGAGCTAAAGGAGCATGTTCTACCCAATGCAAGGAAGCTAAGAATCTTGAAAAAAAAGGTTAGAATAATTCCGGACCAGAATAACCAGTTTAGAGAAGAACATAAATAACCTGATGGAGCTGAAAAACACAGCATGAGAACTTCATGAAACAATCACAAGTATCAATAGCTGAATCCATCAAGCAGAAGAAAGGATATCAGAGATTGAAGATCAACTTAATGAAATAAAGCATGGGGACAAGATTAGAGAAATAAAAATGAAAACAAACAAACAAAGCCTCCAAGAAATATGGGACTATGTGAAAACACCAAACCTACGTTTGATTGGTATACCCGAAAGTGATGGGGAGAATGGAATCAAGTTGAAAAACACTCTTCAGGATATTATCCAGGAGAACTTCCCCAACCTAGAAAGATAGGCCAACATTCAAATTCAGGAAATACAGAAAACATCATA